AACACCTCAACTAAGATGTTATCAACATAGACATGATCAAAGCTGTAGGACTATACTCCACACTGAATTCTAGCCCCAAAACAGATACCAACTGTACCACTAATATATACATTCTTGCACAGTTTCACTGTAAAGTACATACTAGTTAAGAAAGAGCCAAAACACCCCTATGAGGGGGTAGGGTTACCCTGTCCTAGTTTTTTTTTCATGAACTAGGGTTCATTATTTCAAACACGTGGTTTCACGCAATCCTGCATTCAAGTGAGCATCCTGTTCTAGTTTGGAACAGTCTCTATGGCTTTACTATACGCAATTAGGCCAAATGGTCAAAGAGGGTGCCTCAGCAAGACTACCTAATATACCTCACACCTAACACTGAGAAGTGAAAGGAGGATCAAATGTTATAGTGGTAGTTCAGATCCAAGGGTTGTGTTTCTAACATGGCAGAGCCCACGACCAGTTAGCCTTTTGGCTAGCTTTAGGCAAGCCCCCAACAAACTGTCCAGGAATAGCAGATGGCAAACACAGTGATTTAAGCGCACCAATGCAACGGTTGTCGGGTCATGCTATAGCTCATCTCTGTCAAGTTAAGCTAGGGGCAATGCCTGGCTATGTTAGCTGCGGATCGACCGCACATCCAATTGCATCACCATCTCTCTGTGGGAAAGTCCACTTGTCGCTGGCGGAAGAAGTAAGCACGGGTTGAATACTCGGGGCAAGGGTCCACCACTTTCAGCTTATCCATGAGCCATACTTGGGAAGGGACGAAAAATAAGAGAGATTAAAGAATATAGATATGTACATGGCAAGAAAAGGAAAGAAAAAGGTTTTGAGAGAAAATAGAGCGTAAGTGCCAAGTGATGTGAGAATCACATAGTGGACTCCCCGCAAACCCTGTGGTCTCTTGCCGATGAAAAGCATCTAAACCCATCAGGGTCTCAGCCAATGCTAAACCAATGCAACTCTTACCCTCTTTCAGGCAATGGGCTACTTAGATTAGCTTAATGTTGGCTCCGCTGTAACTAAGAGCAAGAAGGAAATGCGTTAGCATACATAAACAAACGGTATGTTGTCGAAAGCCTTACCGAAGAAGGTCACCTCTTTCTCCAACATCAGAAAACCGATGAATCAAGCTGGGTACACCTAGCTCTCCGTCATGAGCCAAAGATCGATCTTCGTGCAAAGTAAGCCCACATATCCGTCCCAAAGCCAGGGCATGGTCAAAACGGGGTTGAGGCATGATTTCCTCATCACGTTGGGATTCTAGCAATGCTTGAAACTCTTCAAGAGTTGGACACATTTCCTGTGCTCCGAAGCAAAATGCATGCGGAATTGGGTCCCAATGTCGGGCCGTGACGTGGAGGAATGCAAAACAAAGTGGAGTGCATCTCAACGGAAAAAGCGTATTTATGCCAAAACCTTAAAAATTTACCTTTTTCGTGCCGTCTAAAGTGGCTATCCAATCCATGAGCTTCTCGGCAAGGAAGATCTTCATTTTCAAGGAAAATAGTAGTTGAAATGAGGTTCTAGTGAAGAAATGGAGAAGGAGGACCTTTTGTAGAAGATAAGACTGTGAGTGGAGGCCAACTGTCAACTAACTGGTGGATCGCCACAAGTGGCTGGCCGCCCACTTTTTGTGGTCGGCCGTCCACTTTTGTGGCCTGGCAATTTAGCATTTTGGTTTTGTCTTGGTCTTTGTGTTTTGGGTCTTGTTTTGAGTCTTTTGTTTTTAGCAGGTGTACATAGTCATGTTTAAGTTGTTTTTACTTTATTTTCCATTTATCGAGTTGTATTTTGTATATTGGTCGTTGGTCGGTTCATTATCCGATTAAGAATATCGTTCCAATACAAGCATTCTCAGTTTCAAATCCAATTTCATTTTCATTCTATGCAAATGTGATGCTCATGATGCAAAAACAATAACTCTTTTCATAAAACTACGAGGTTTTACTTTGATCATAGTTTTTTACAGAAGAGAGTACAAGTTTTCAAAAGCGAAAGTAAGCCTATCTGAAGCTATATATGTGCTAAGCTACCAAAATAAAATAAAAAATAAAAACTAAGTAAAAAGTATAAAAATCTGTGCCAATCGTATCAAGCTCAAGAGGCCCTCTTCGTCATATTTCTTGGAGGGGACTCAGGGGCACTATCTCCATCGATGCCGCTATCAGAATCGGACTCCAAGCCAGAGCCAGTATCATCATTTCTGCTCTCTAAATCAAAACCAGCCTCAGCGTCCTCCTCACTCTCTGATCCCTAGGGATGGCAATATGAACCCGGCCCGACGGGGACCCGGACCACCCCATCCCAATAAATAGGGTTTTCCCCGAAAATTATTCCCCATAGGGCCGAGGCTGGTATTGAAAAATACATCCCCGATAATTTTTGGGCCGGGGACGGGGATTAATTTCACGGCCCCGACCCCGCCCCGACCCGCCCCGCCCCAAAGTTTCCCCGAACCTCATCCTTTCTTCGGCCGCCATAGCTCCTCTCTACCTCGTCGCCACCCCTGCAGGTCCGTGAACTCAACCGTTGGGATATGGTGGGTTTCAGACAACGATGGGCAGAGGAGGTGGGGCTTCAGGTGTCGATCCAAGGGGTTGATTTTAGAGGTGAATTTCCCTAAAAAATCCCCGCCTGTGTGTTTAGTTGTATTATATATATATCTCGCTCATTCTTTGACTCTCTCAACTCTCTCACTGACTCACTCTCTCAACTCTCATTCTCTCTCTAACTCTCTCAACTCTCTTGTCTCTCTCACTCTCTCATTCTTCTCTCTCTCACTCTCATCGACACGGCGACACAGTCACCGACTCGTCTCTCTCTCACTCTCAGTCACCGACACGGCAACACCACCACCACTCTCTCTCTCTCACACCTCGTTTGCTCTCTCATCTATCCTCTTCAGCCGCTGATCGCACACCAGTCGTCGACACCACCACCACCACCGCTGGTCTAGACTTCGATCTACAGATGACAACATCGACTTAGGACAAAAACCTCAGATCTCATTTTCTCCATCGTCGATCTCAAGTCTCTCCTTTGCCGATCTCATTTTCTAGATCAGTGTTGCTTGAATCTGTTTAGTGGATGATGATGATTCTAGATCTGTCTTGTTTGAATCTGTTTAATTTTCATTGTTCATTAGATGATGTTCATTGTTCATTAGTTCATTGGTTCTGTGTAGATGATAAATTTATTTATGATGTTCATTGTTCATTATTTACAGATTTTTATAGATAAAAAAAAAATCGGGGATTTTTCGGGGTCGGGGATCCCCGATCCCCGATCGGGGGCGGGGATGGGACCGGGCTATGAGTCCCCGTCGGGGATCGGGGCCGGGGTCAGGGAAAATTCGAGCATCGGGGATCGGGGACGGAGAGTGTGATCCCCCGCCCCGCCCCGTTGCCATTCCTAGTGAAAGACTATACCATACTTTTGTTTGTTGGTAAAATTTCTTGTTTTACCTTCAAAAGTGTAAACTCATATACATTTATTCACGGGGATTATTCGATTTTTTAAATTGGTGCAAAGATTTTCTCTTTCTTATTTTTTATTTTTATTTTTTTTTCATTTTTTTGAGTTAGGGGACGGGGATGGAGGCTGTGATACGTTCCCCATCGAGGATCGAGGCCGGGGTCGGGGAAAATTTGACCATCGGGGATCGGGGACAGGGAGGGTGATCCCCGGCCCCGCCTCGCCCCGTTGCCATTCCTACTGATCCTGAGCCAGCATCATCATCCCCGCTCTCAAACTCAGAGCGTTGACTCACTGCCTCCTCGGAATCACTAGTCTCAGTATCATCCTTACTCAAAATCGACTCTAAGCCACTCCGACTCTGAGCACCTCTGCGTCTACCTCGACATCGATGCTCGCCTCGGCCGCGTGCTGGAGCCTGTCTACCTCTCCTCTTTGCCGCTGGAGGAGGTATCACTAATGCTGCTAGTGCCCTCGGTACAAGTGAAACCTGAAAAACAAGCATCAACATATCAGATACAGTGTGTGTATTGTTGCAGAATGTAGTATGCAGTGTGAGTATGGTACAGAAAATAGATGTAACATGGGTGCAGTGTGTCAGTGCAGTGTGAAGCAGTATCAGAATGTAAGTCAGTATGCATTGTATCACGGTGAGTGTCGCGTAGTATGAGTATTGTGTATCAATGGAAATATGGCATATCAGTACAGTGTGGGAAGCAATGCAATGCATGAGGGGAATGGAAGTATACCTGGATACCGTGCAGAACGAGCAGCATCTCCTTTCTTTGCACCATGTGAACTAGGGAGGCAACCAGCTGAAGAAAGCCCTCTGTATACTCTAAGGAGGGGTGAATTGTGCAAGGTGCCTGCAAGTGAAATTGAATAATCAGTATCTGAAAAGGGCAAGTGTGGTCCATACTTGAGGTGTGCCTGAGGCTCTAACATACACTTGCCCTACCTCCAGGGGCTCTATCGGGAACTAATAGGTCGTCTCGCTCAGTCGCCCGCACTACAACAAAAAAAGATTTTTACGGCGCGCAATGCATGCCGTAAAAGCCCTTCTACGACGTGCAGCGCGCGTCATATTATGACCAGTCATGAAAAATCATTCATTTTCAACGACATGCTTTGTACGCCATTAAAAACCATTTAACGACAGATTTTGTGTCGTTACTTTTTCTACAACATGCTATAGGACGCCGTTAAAAACTATTTAACTGCAGATTTTGTGCATCATTATTATTTTTTCTGACTACTTTTGCACGCCGTTAATTGGTAAGACAAATAACGATGCTAATTGCACGTCGTAAAATATGTAAAACGACGACTTATTATGCCTACCGTAGAATATGCAATTTTTATTTTATTTTTTTTTTAAAAAATCAACAAATTCTATTTAATCAGTTTGGTACAATCTAACAAATATTACAAACAAACATTACAAAACATCAATCAACCACCAAAATATTATTTCAAATATCAAAAAAACTATACATAAATTTCAAACATCCAAAAACTATCTATGCATTCCAAACCATCCAAAAACTATATTTCTAAACATTAAAAATTATCCTCAACTTCAAAACCGTCCAAAAAAAATATTATTAAAAGGGCATACAAAAGTAAGATCAAAATATTTGGAAAGTTTTCCTGGCCAAATTCAAAGAATACAGTACATTTATTTTACAATGAAGCACCCGAGAGGTGGTCACAGGCCCAAGTTGCATGAACTTAGATTGATAGACCACCCATTATCCAAGCATTTAAGCTTTTACCAAGGACTTCTCTTAGTATCAAGGTTTTTGTTCTCTTGGGAGCTTGACCACCAACTTCACCAGATAAGACCTAACCCTGCCACAGTAAACTGGGGTACAGTGCAGGGATGCATTCTCCTTAAAAAATATGAGCATGTTGAAAACTGAAGTTACCCACAAAATCTTGGCCTTCTGATTTGATTCCCTTTTCCAGAAAACCGCACAAACTGAATGGTAAAGCACCTGTTTATTTGGGGAGGGGGGGACAAAAATAAAAAATAATAAAATAATAAAATAATAAACAAATCAAGTACTATTTTAGACCTAATGCTTCATGTTTCAAGACAACAATCAAGAAAAGTTAAAGCCAGTTTTTACCTTGGCAAGCCAGTGATACGTGAATCTTTAATGTAAATCGCACTATGGCCCAAAGAAGGAGAAGCCTTACATCAGCTCATCAATAGCACTTACATGCTTAAGCCCCTCATGTAAATGGTTCACTTCATGTGATATGTGGCACTTCAGTGCATACACCGATTCCATCTCTGAGATTTCTTCACCACTTTCTTCACAATGCACCCTAAACTCACATCACCACCAAGAAATAAATATCCAATATAAACACTTCTCTGCCACGATTTTCATAGCCATAAAAATAGAAACCTGAAAGATTTAAAGTGCTACTGTTGTACCTAAAGGCACAAAACAATAATGCACAGTCTAGTCAAACACCAGACAAGCAAATATCTAGATTGCAATACAAACCAATAAAACCATTCTATCTGCTCTCCAGGGAAGATGAAAAGGAGAAAATAGTTTAAGCTCTCGCTATTAGTATTTAGCAGAAGCCATATCCAATAGATTGTGAAGAACCCAGGATGTGCAACTATTGAATTATTAGCATATAGAAATATGGTGATCTGACCTATTGAAGTAAACAATACAATTATACAAGAAACATAAGCATGAGATGAGATAAATCTATTTAAACTAACAATATAGGAGCAAATATACTTCATTTAGGATCCAACAAATTCCAACCCACCTAAAGACTAGTAATTCCCTATTTTCCTCATATTTTTCCCAGATTCTCAGCAACCAAACAATGCATTCTAAGCTCTATAATACCTAACATATAAGTTTACATGTCTCTTCCTCCAATGGAAAAGAATAACTTATCCAGAACTTTACTTTCTAAGTTGAAAAGAATTGCTTTGACCATGTTCTAATTTCTTAACAATCAAGAACAAGTTAAAGAACAACAAAAGATTAAGCAATAGTTATGGAAGCTAAGGTGGGTTTCGTTTACGATGGAGATAACTGGACTTATCTCAATCTGTCAAATACAATTTTTTTTTTTTTTTCTATGATCAGTTGAGCAATGTGTTCACACACTGAAATTAATTCAACTAGAGAGAAGCAAAATTGCATGAAAAAGAATAAGAACAAGTAACCTTTTTGTACAAAGTTAGAAGGTCTATGTTATCAAATGGAAGATATCCAGCCGTCAAAACATAAAGGATGACCCCACATGATCAGACATCTGCTGCAACACTATCATAATCCCGATGGCTTAAAACCTATGGCATTGGTTAAGTAGAAATTTGGATGGATCAAGGACCATGATTCTTTGAAAAGAAGATTAGCTTTGAATAAATAAATAATGTAGGAGAAAAATGGTGAGTTTAACCAAAAGAATTGAAACATTAGCCAACTGAAAAGCTTGCTTCAAAGCACAATTATATCATAGATACTTCACAACTATCAACAAAGTTACAAAAAGGCTAAGGGATACAATTTCTATTCTAGATTATTTTCAAAGGAAAACAAGACATATATATAGCCATTGGGAATGCAAAAGAGAACATGAGAAAATGTATAACTCACATGGCATAGAAGTTAAGGGAGAGCAAGGGAGGGATAGAGCTCAATGATAGAGTCTTAAGACTTTATCCCTTCCTACACCACCCTCCTTGCACAGAAATCAGCAAGGGGTTCAAACACCTCCCTGTATACCTGTCTATTGCCAAATAAAAGACAATGACCAACTCTTCTTACAATCAAATTTACAGCTCTTATTGTTGAAATATTTGGCAAGTATTACATTTATTTGATTCATAATTAAATCATCGTGGTTTCAAAAATCAGTCCTTCATTTATTAAAAAGGAAATCAAGAGCGTTGTCATAACATATCATGAAGCATTCCTAATCAATTAGTACCCAATTTTTTAAGTTTGGTTCCCACTTTCTTAGCATACACAATCATAAGCAAATTGAAAGATTATCAAATAGAGTAAAATCAAAATCCATTTTTCTCAAAACCAACACAATGACAATATAAGAATGAGCCTAATGAGAGTCACAATTTCAAAATAAATAAATAATTGACCTCATCACATAAAAATCAATTATATATCATCTAACTAAGAGTTGATCTCATCACATAAATAATTGATCTCATCACATTAAAAAAAATATTAAAAAAAAAAGTTACTAAGAGTTGCATCATTCCTTTTGCATACTTAAAAATGTATTTGATTGGGTTAACTCTTTCAATTTTTTAGAAAAAGTTTGTGTTGCCTTTGAATCTCCATTCTAAGTAAACATACAAGGATCCCAAAGAAAAACCAAAAAGAATTATATTCTGAGAAAAATTCAAAAAGAATTTAGATTTTAAATATTTGAAGTTTAAAGTGGAGAAATAAATTGAAATGTTGAATTCTAATATTTGGTTTAACTATTGCCTACAAAGCCCCAAGTAAATTCTTAAGATTTGTTTAGATTTACAATTTCAAAATAAATAAATAATTGACCTCATCACATAAAAATCAATTATATATCATCTAACTAAGAGTTGATCTCATCACATAAATAATTGATCTCATCACATTAAAAAAAATATTAAAAAAAAAAGTTACTATGAGTTGCATCATTCCTTTTGCATACTTAAAAATGTATTTGATTGGGTTAACTCTTTCAATTTTTTAGAAAAAGTTTGTGTTGCCTTTGAATCTCCATTCTAAGTAAACATACAAGGATCCCAAAGAAAAACCAAAAAGAATTATATTCTGAGAAAAATTCAAAAAGAATTTAGATTTTAAATATTTGAAGTTTAAAATGGAGAAATAAATTGAAATGTTGAATTCTAATATTTGGTTTAACTATTGCCTACAAAACCCCAAGTAAATTCTTAAGATTTGTTTAGATTTCGAGTCAACACATAGAGCACATGCACCTAGTACATAGTGAAGCCTTTTGTAACCATTTCCTATGATTTCAGAATAGTAAATAAATTTTCAAAAAATCAGATTACTAACCCAACAACAACAAAACAAAAACAAAAATATAATCTTTAATTTAACTTATGGAATTAAAGTTCCATCAACCCTTTTTCTGTTTGTTCATTGAGCACCCATTCATCATACTCTTCCCCATTAAAGTTCCAAGTAAATTTGTTCACAATCTATCTCGCACGCAAATTGAAGTAGCAAAAAATACCAGCAAAGAGACGAAAAAAATTGAAACAAAGATTAAAATGGTGGAACCACATTTTATAGTTTTGCAATTCTTATCGGAAAATCAGTTTCTCCTGTGTGACAATATATCGAATTAAAAACTATAAAACTCCACGTGGTTGAATGAAAGAAGAGTGAGGGAGGGAAAAGGTGATGTATGCACCTTTACAAACAATGACTTTCTTCCTGAGCTGGACCTCACTATAACTCCCATCGATTTCCTATCATGGTCAAACTCAAGAGTGGCAATCCGTCTTTCAATCTTACTCCACGTCTGACAACAACCTTCAACTACATAAAATTAAATGGAACACATTAGCAGCCACGTAAACATGTTTAGTAAACAACAAAAACATAAGTTATAATTGTAACTTACGTAGAACATCACCATAACCTTTAGATGTACCAAAATCCAATCCATCAGGAAGTCCCATTTTCTTAACCATAACCTGAAAAAAACATAAAAACTCATGATGAGAAAATTGCTTCAGCTCAATATTTATTGCTTTGCAGCAACTTCAAAGGATTGGAGCTTCATGAGGAGCTTCAGTGTGGGGTATATGCTAATCATATCAATGATTCGAATATGACCTTAGCAACTCTTGTTACTCTCTTGGTTCAACAATGGATACCTTGCAATGAATTAGCTCATCATGCATGTATCTGGAGGAAGCAACAAATATTAGTAAAGATAAGAATACAGTTATTCTGTTTTTTATTACAAGCATTGGAAAAGAAATGCAAAACAATTTCTGAGCATTGATAGAAATTAAATAAATGAGGTCCAACTGCAAATAAAAATAGATTGAATATCTTCCAATGAAGCAAAAACGATATTGCAAAGATCAAAAATAAAAAAATAAAAAAATAAAAAAACAAAACAAAACAAAAACAAAAACAAAAGCAACCTCACATAAACACCACCACAAATTTGAACATAATGGGCATGCCAGGGGACAGAAACAAAAGAAGATATTGCTTCTGTGAACATCCTGCAGAAAACGAGGACACAAAATTCTGTCCATGATTGATTAAAAGCATAGCTTGATGTGTGGATAAAGGAAGGTCAACAGTAAGAGAAGAAATAGGGATAGGTTGAGATAGGAAAGGCTGAACTGGGGCAGCCTGAACTGGTGCAGTCTGTCTTGCTTACTGCACTGATGCAGTCTGTCGTGCAGTCTGTCTTGCTTGCTGCACTGATGCAGTCTGTCCTGCTGGCTCTGCGGAAGCAGCAGGCAGAACAACTGATGGCTGAAGGAAAGAAACCACTGGAACAGAGGTTGAAGATAGAGGAAAAGAGGACTGGGAAGGCAAAGAGGACCAGAAAAAGGAAAATAACTGAGAAAGACTAGGTGTAGAAGAAGTAGGGGAAGAAGAAGTAAAAGGAACAAAAAGATTCATCAAAATTCTCAACTGGAGAGGAAGCAAGTGCCAGTTGATCAGCAAAATTCTTGATCTGAAGAAGATAATCCTCGATGGATTCAGATTTCTTCTTGACACCATTTAGTCAATTCTTGAGTTGATGGATGTGAGACCTGGAAAGTGATGTGAAGCGTTTATCAAGATAGATCCAAACTTCATGACAGCTTTTGTAATGCAACACTGAAGTGAATACTGAGGAAGTTAGGGTTGCTGTAATGCAACTTAATAGGTGTGAATCAATCTGTGTCCAACTCAGAAATTCGGAGTTGATTACATCTTTTCCCTCAGAATCTTTGACTGTTGCAGGTGGAGAATCCAGAGTACCATCAACATAGCAGAGCAGATTTGTTGCTCGAAGTATGTTCTGTAGTTGTGTTTTCCAAACAATATAATTTGTGGAATCTAATTTGACAGTAACAAAAGAACTGAGATTGGAGATTAGAAGTGTGAGGCTAGGAGGAAGAGAGGATCCAGTCACCATTGTAGCAGCTTCAAGAACTGGCACTCAACAATGAAACGGAAGCAAGAAGAAAAGAAAGAGAAGGATCATAACTCGTTGGAGTGTAGATGCTCTGATACTATGATAAGAAATGTGAAATCTTCAATCTTATTTGATAAAGAGATACTACATCAGTATTTATACAGAAAATCTAACTAATCTAACCAACTACTTACCAACACTCATACACTCTATACATATAAATATTATTCTAACTGAATCAATTGAACAGAGAAATTATCCTCTGTTACTGTTGTGGTGCTACTGCACTTGCTGTGGTGCTCTTGCTGTGTTGCTGCACTCATCTGCACTGGTTGCACTTGCTGCACTGTGGTCTTGAGCTATACTCTTATCAATATATACACTATATATATGTAAATATAAACACACAGCAATGGGGGTTAACATGGATGCTCATATTGACTTCCAATTGTATAGAAAATGCATCACCTTGTTGCTGCAAATTAGGAGATTTTGGTTTAGATTTTTTACTTGGAAGGCCTGATTCTAGAAACTTCTATGCTTGCTTTTATCATCAAGATCTTCATGTGGGTAGCATTCGTGAGCTGGTGATATAAGGTTTGTTCACTGGTGGTTGTTCACAAGGGTGGCAGGGAAGGGATTGTAGGATGGTGGGGGAGCTCACGAGATGGTCCACAACTGACGTGACTCCATACCGACACCTTTCCTTTTGTGGGGGAATGGGTTATTCGATGGTGGTAGATCACGAGGTAGTGTGCTTGGTGGATGTAACCTACGTTACATGGACTCGTCAGTTTTGGTAAAGTACCCGTGTCGATACGACACGACACGACACGGGTACGGGTACGGAATCCGAACGGGATACGGCATGGAAGAAGTGAATATAGCATATGGAAGAAAGATGGCATACCTGTGATTAGGGCTACGAAAACTGCGATTAGGGCTTCGATCCTGCGATTAGGGATGCGATCTTCTTCTCTCGAACTGTCTTCTTTTCTCTCTCACTCTCACTCTCACTCTCGATCATTCTCTTCGTCTGTCTCTTCTCTCGCTCTCGATCATCTTCATCTCTCTCTTCTCTCTGGTTCGATCAACTTCGTCTCTCCTTCTCTCTGTTTTCTTCTCTCTGTATTCTTCTCTCTTGACTGTATTCTCTCCTCTCTTCGTTTTAATCGATGCCAATCATATAAATAATATATACTATAAATTATATCATATACAATATATAATATATAATATAAATTATATCATAAATAATATACATATAATATAATTTATCATAAATAATATAAATATATATATGTCAATTAGTTATTATATTTTTGTTATTTCTATATAATTTATATAATAATATATAAATAATATATATGTCAATTTGTTATTTTTGTTATTAAATAATATATAATATAATATAATTTATTTTAACATAATTTGTTATTCCTTAGTTATTATATTTTTGTTATTTATAATACATATCAATTCAATTATATAAAAAAATTATCAATAAAAGTAATACATAAGATAAAAATAATAAATATATTTAAAAAATAACTATTTAACTTATCTTTATATAATAAATATATTTTAAAAATTAAATATTTAACGTATTCCCGTATCCGTATCCTCGTTTGGATTCATATCTACGTATCCCCAATTTTTAATTTTGAAGTGTCCGACCCCTAGATACGTATCCGCACCCGAGTCCGTGTAACGTAGGATGTAACCACTGGGTGGTGGACCTACTGTTGTAGAGGGTTTTATAAGGGTGGTGACAATGGCACAAAAAGAGGTTTAGAGAGAAGGGGTTGGATTGTGAAGATGGAATTGTATGTGGCGTTGGCACTATGTTAATGAGGGCATTCTTATATTTCTCAAAATTTTATTTCAGTCATTTTAGTTTCACAATTAACAAGCCCCTCCCCCCATGTTAGCGGTTAGAATTTTTCTTTACCATCAAAAGTAAGTTTCTACTTCTTTAAACATCATAAGAAAATACAGTATCCAAGTATTTAATTTGAGTGTAGGCGTTAGATACCTATCCCACACCCTTACCTTTATAATATTTGGTGGACATGGGGATATTGGGTCCATGGAAGAGTCCATGTAACACTGTTCAATACCAAATACCTGTTGTCTCTAATCTTGAGTACCATTCTTCTATTACTCTACTTCGGCAACCCTCTCATACATCTCATTCATTTATTTATTTTTAAAGTAGCACAACTTATCATTGTTATTGCTACCTTTTTTTTATGAGATGGAGACCACTCTTTTAAAGACAAATATATAGTTCACCTTAAATTTTTCTTTCCCAGACTTTTTCTTACACGTGAAATGAAACACTTTGTTACATTCTATAAATAACACGTATACCCTCCTCCAAGAAACTATTACAGACAGGCATAAAATTTTTAGTACAATCTTTACAACTATGAAGCGCGTTTACCTCTGTACAAATCACATACCGATGTTCGACATTCGTCCACCTTGTGTCTTATTTAATTATTTATTTTAAATAAATTTTTACGGAAATAGCATACCCAAATTAATGAATTTGATGAGATTAAATATTTGATATAAAATAAATATATAACATTAAAAATTATGACATATAGTAAATGAATAAAAATATATTTTTTTGCACGTGCCCCTGGCATGTTGTGTCTTGCATTTTTTTTTTTAAATTTCTATGTTTGCGTGTCTGTGTCATATCCGTGTTGTGTCATGTGTCCGTGCTTCTTAGCGTTACAAAATAAATGTGTGGTTTAGATTCTATAAATTCGTTTACACAATTGAATGTCAATAAAATCAAAATCTTGAGACTATAGCTAATCTCAAATCTTTCCAGAAGCATCCCAATAATGAAAACTTCATATATTTGATATTTTCTTCCTAATATAGTAGTCTGGTCAGCGAGAATACGACCAAAACAACGGAAAATTTAGAAACATTATTGAAACCTCTACTAATAAAACCAAAACATTATTTGCCCTTCTGTTTGTCGCCGACTTAGGTTCTTATGATTCATCCAAATTTGAGATTCTTTCACTAAATCTCGAACGAATATTCAATTTACTTGTCATATTTAACTAAATTCTGAATCCAGTCCAAACCCAAGTTTGGTCAAAGTATTGTCAATTAACAGCCAAAGTTTATCCCAGTTTTGCGCATACTCCAATCTGAATCCCAATTTCACCAAACTATCCAGAAATGCTAGAGATCACAATTGAAGTCCCACAATTCACCCACAAGGGAGTTATTACACATAACTTGCTATGTCATCGTGAGTACAATTGTGGGACTTTAAATTGTGGGTATCAAATCTTTTTTCCTATCTCACAAATAAGTGATGAATCTCAAATCCATGACCTAGAGTATCTTTCTTTCTTTCTTTCTTCTTCTTCTTTCCTTATAATAAAAGTAATAAATACTCACAACTTGGATGATTTTGTCAGTAAACAAACAACAAATTCATGAATATACACGAAGTAAGAGACAAATAAAACTCAAAAAGGCAATTTGAAAATTGGCAAAGGCTTGAATTACATAATACAGTACCTGCCAGAGAACAATAGGGTTGGTGTTGTGGTCACATTCGTCGGCTTGGAGCTTCAACGAAGGCATGTCTGGGCAAGGGTTCGAAACCTTCACTGCGACAAGCTTAACCTCCTCTTTCACGGATTCACCACCGATTGTGGTCATTGGTTGCTCCGACGAGACAACAACAGAGTTTGATTTTGCGTCGAACGTTGAAAGAGAGAGAGAAGCGAAAGAGACTAGGGCAGGACTGGGTTGGGAGTGAGAATAAATTAGGCATTTCAGATACACAGCCAAGAGGAGAAGAGAAGAGAAGCATGAGACGATGATATATACCTTTGATTTCGGATACACAACCGAAGAGAAGAGATGAGATGAGATGAGATGAGATGATCCTGGTAACCTAGCAATTGATTCAACCTTTATCATCATCACAGAGACAGATTGAAACCTTGTGATGTTCCATTATAATTAAAGGAAGCAAAATAGTTATTGTGGGGAAAAAAAAATTCTATACTTATTTTTTTGGGCGATTGGCGCTCAAATTTCATTTCGGCGCTTTTGTTTGTTTGTTTTTTTTTTTTATCATACAATTCACGACATGCATTGTCTATCGTAAAAAGATAATACTTTTAACGGCAGCCGATATGTGTGTCGTAAAAAGTATAACACTTTTAACGGCAGACGTTGTGTACGTTGTAAAAAGTATTCACTATTCACGATTGGCATATGTGTGTCGTGTATAATTGATGTATTAATGGCACGCCATATGCACGTCGTAAAAAGTTTTATTATTTACGGCGTGCATTGCAAGCCTTAAAAAAATCATCATTATTACCATTCACGACCTATGCAATAGACACGCCGTGGTTGGAAAAATATTTACGACGTGCAAAAAAAGCAAGTCGTAAAAGTGAGGAACTACGGCATGCATTTATTGTATACCGTTGATGTAGTGCCATAAAAAGTCAATTTTGTTGTAGTGCCGCAAAGGATTGTGGTTGGAATCTCCAGCCAATCGCCAGCCCGCACAGCAGGAGGGGCCCCTCCAATACTAGCCTCGACCTCTTGAGCAACCCCTCCAGCCAAGGGAGCACCCATTGCATCGCCGACGCGAACTCCAGTTAGGGGCAGCATAAGATGAGTCTGGATAAAAGCCGTGTAATCTTTGTCCCCTCGAAAGTAGTTAGCATCATGCCCCACCATGAACTAAATAATAATCTTAGCTAAAAGGCTATCAGTTGTCCTTATGGATGCTGGGGACATAGGAACGATCGGGGTAAGCAAGCCCAGTGTCTGGCGTACAAACTGCTCTCCCAAGAACCAGGCCCGATAGAATGGGCCCTCCAACAGGATCTGGTATCGAGAAATAGCCTAGGCTTCGGCATACTAGTCTCTAACTCTGACTGGCATCGTCGCCCATGGTTGCTAGGTGATATGCAATAGAAAATTTACAAGTTGTTAGTTGCTATCAATTGTCAGAATATGGCTCAGAACATTAGCAATGGAAATAAAGCAGAAATGACTGTGAATTTCGGGTTACCTCATGGGCAACAACTATGTCAAAGTAGCGACGATAGAAGGCAAAGGTCATATCCTTGCGGCTCCGGCGGCATCACCTGTTATCATACCACCGCGAGTAAAGGACGGCCGGAGCAATCTCATCCATTGGCTCTAGGGCAAAGGCCGAGAAAAAGGCGTAAACCCATAGCTACAAAAAAAGTTGGCAATGTGAATTAAACAGCGTGTGAACAGATATCGAATAGAAAGTGTAAAGTAGAAGGCACAGTGTGTGAATAGATATCAGACAGAAAGTGCAAGGCAAAAAGCACAATGCATGAACAGATATAAGGCAGAAAATGCAAAGCAGAAAGCATAAGAAGAAGTAAATAGAGTCAAAAGTGCAGTGCATACCTCCCAGGCTCTCCAATAGACTCCGATCATGTTTCCCTTCATGCGGGAACTGGAACTCATGTAGTCGTAGAGTGTGGCAAGGCTGGATCCACCCTCGTCGTAAAATCGGACCTGGGACAAGGTCATAAGGGCGCTCAACAAGTATAAACCCACGGTATTCCACCTGTTCGCAAACAAGGTGGTGCCGAGAAGGTACATGAAGAAGCCCCGGGTGTACTACTCTACCTCCTCCTATGTCTTAGGCTGACTCCTGCGGAAGCGCTCAGGGAACCAACTATATTGCACCATAGCTGGCCTATATAAAGACGGGCTCATTCCGAGTAGGTAGATCCAAGCGGCATTCCACTGGCCCATGTCCATGTCTAAGGGATTGGATCACCCCCTACTCCTAAGCCTATGATCATCGCAAAGTCTTAGGGGGTTATCGTCATCTCCCCAACTGAAGAGAAGTGAAAGGAGTTGGTGGTATCCCACCACCTCTCCACTAATGCTCCGAGTAGGGCCTGGCTAGCCATGTGGTGCGTGAGCTTGGTGTAGAGTAAGCCAAAACTTGCCTCGTCGACAAGGTCGCGGACTAGGGAGGAGCTGATACCAATCCTTGGCCGTCACTATACCGTAACCTTTACAGAAGTGAGAGTCCTCCTGTGGTAAAAAAAGAGTGAATCAGATGAAAGACGGTGATAAAAGAAGAGTCAGATGAAAGGTAATGCAAGACAGCCAAATAAAAGGCAGTAAAGCATGAAAATAAAGTTTGCACCTCAATAGCGCCGTAGGAAAGGTGGGAGTCTGGCTTCCTTAACAAAATATCCTCTGGCACGCCATCAATGAAGTTGTCAAAATGCATCATGCCTCCAGGTGCCATCATGTGCATGTGAGAGTGGTAAATGGTCGGATCAAAGGGCCTCACCTTCAATGGTGGTAACTCAGGCTCGAGCCTTGGGGCGAAGACCTTTGCCTCTGCCTCGAAGTTAGTGACAATGCCCTCCGCTGCCTCACCACCCTCATCAGTTATAGGCTCCTCAACCTCGACAGCAAGTGGAAGCATAGGTACCTCAGGAGGAGTGTCATCATAAAGGACATCATCTGTCATCTGGAAAGTGGGTGAAAAATGAAAAAATGAGGAAAAAACTTGGGAAAATTCTACCCTATGAGAGAGAAAATGGGAGAAAAAGTCAAAACCCAAAAAAGTTCACAAAACCCAAGAAAACCTCGAGGGGAACAAGCCTAAAGTGTTGAAAACCCGGAAAAATCGGTTCAAAGTGAAGAGGGCCAAAGAGGGTTTACGAATAAAGTTTACGTGGGGCATTGGGAAACGCGTATAAAGCACAAATCTAGAGAGAGGAAGCACCTAGAGAAAGAGTGAGAGTGATCACGATCATGTGGGTATGAGGAAATGAGGTGTAGTGGCGTATTTAAAGAGACCTATGCCAAAAAGACCAAAGTGCCCCCGAAATTGCATTAGTGGCCGGCCGGCCGGCCTCTTTTGTGGCCCAGTGCTGGTTTTGTTCCCCTTTTTGCCCTAACAGTGTATGGGAGGCCTTATTTTGGGTCTGGAAAGAAGGATTGAGGTATTTGAATTGGATTTGATTTTCGAGGAGCTCGAAACTGTGTTCCGATTGCGCCGTTCCAATGCCCATTGTACTCCGACCTGCGAACATGCCCTAATTTTAAATATAAACAAGTTGTATCCTTTTGAACATTTTACACAGCCATTGAGGGGTAAGTTGGAGGTTGTCGTCGAACGTCGTTTTTGTTCATTTTGTCAGTTTACATATCTATTATCTTTTTCTACATAGAACCATTATGCTCACATACCTCTTATGTTGCATGTGCGCATTGCATCGTTCATAACTCATATGCTTATCCGGTTTGCATAGCGCATAGAACATGCTTTCAAATATCTTGCATAGAACATTCTTCAATTATCTTGCATGGCACATGCTTTCGATTATCTTGCATAGAACATGCTTTCAATTATCTTGCATTTCGATTCTTGCATAGAACATGCTTTCAATTAACATCATATGTCAGTTGTTTAGTATCTTGCATAGAACATGCATTGTCATTGTATTTATTTTCAATCCTATTTACTTTGTGCATCTATTGCACCCGCTCATTTTGTGCATCTATCGCACCTGTTTACTTTATGCATCTATCGCACTCGCTCACTTTGTGCATCTATCGTACCCATTCACTTTGTGCATCTATTGCACTCGCTCACTTTGTGCATCTATCGCACCCGTTCACTTTGTGCATCTATTGCACTCGCTCATTTTGTGCATCTATCGCACTCACTCACTTTGTGCATCTATCGCACTCACTCACTATGTGCATCTATCACACTCGCTTACTTTGTGCATCTATTACACTCGTTCACATTGTGCATCTATCGCACCTGTTTACTTTGTGCATCTATCGTACACTCTTACTGCCTTGTGCATCTATCACGCAATCTCATACTTTTTGCATCTATCATATCATCTCGTGGTGTGCAGAGGCACGACCATGAGCGATTTTTCTCCTCTTCTTACGATTTTCGATGTGGTTAGAGTGTGTTTTTATTTCTTCCCACATGAAACATGGTTGGACTTATTTGCGATTATCTTGTTATTGCTCATTGCATCATTTTCCATGATCAGGGATTTTCAAAATAGCCGACTTTGCGAAGCGTGTGAGTCCAGCTTTCAAAGTGTATTCTTTGTGCATAACATTTGTATCTTGCCCCTGAACTACGCTGGTTTGATTCCTTGTAAAGGGATACATAGGCAGTTTGTAGGCTTAACCAATTTAATTTATGTCTTGATTGTTTGCCCAAGTCTTACGGCCTTGTCAAAATGGGTCGTCTTCGGGCTTTGACATTCACTCACGTCATTTCATGACTTCGAGCTCTATCAAAGAAGGGCAACTGTAGACACTCCATTTTTTACCACCCTTAAGACTTGGGTGCCACTGATTTGATCACCCAATGATGAATTTATACACTTGTCCAAATGCTTGATTTCCTTAGCAAGAAACTTCAGTTTTGAACCTACAAACCTTATACCTTGTTTTTGGACCAAAATAATGATTTTTCAAGCCTGACCATCCAAGGGACTTGCAGACCCACTAGTGGCCTGCCGGCCACTAATGGTGGACGGCCGCTCCCTATTAGTGGCCTACCGGCCACTTGTGTAAAAAATCAGATCTTTTTGCCAGCTGCGCCAGTTGTCTCCACAGATGCATGCACTACACCAGTTGTACCTGTATGGATATTTTCGAGATAGTCTCATATATTTCTATATATAGATGACTCTCTCTCAAAAATTAGGGTTAGAAAAATTTGTATAGCAAACATTTTGGAAAATATTTCTCTCTCTATGTTTCTCTCTCTCTCTTACAACTTCTACACCCTTTGCCTAGACACTCTAAACCAAACCTTGAGGGTTCTTTGCTGAGGTGTTTGAGCTTGCATTTTAAGTTCTTGAGGGTGTGAAATTGGTGGTTTGTAATCCAAAGGGTCATTCCTCTTCAAGAGGTATAACTCCAAGCTTATTTCCCCTATTTTATTTACCATCATTTATTGTTGTTTTTGTACTATTTTTCACCTGTGTTTATGGGCT